TATTTTTTTTAATGATATATTTTTTTATATATTTTATTATTTTTGCATATGTTTTTATTTATAATTTTTTTGAATTACATGTTTTTATTCCGTATATAGTTTAATTAAATATTTTCTCGATTATATATTCATTTCATTTATATTCTTTTTTATTGTTATATATATATTTTTAATTATATATTTATTTATTTATTTTTTATTCTTTATTTATGTGCTTTTTATTAATATATTTTCTTACTTTTTATATATTGTTATATTATATTTATATATTTTATTTAAATATTATTTTGGTTATATATTCTTTTTATTTATATATTAATTATAATATATATTGTTATTTATATTTTTAATTATATACTTTTTTATTTAATTTATTTTATTAATTTTTTAATTATATGCTTTTCATTTATATAAATTCTTATAATTTTTTTATTGTTATGTTATATGGAAATTTTTTAATTAAAAAATAAATTTATATTTTGAATTTTTTATTTATATGCTTTTATATATACATACACTATATACAATATACTTCTTTAAATTTCTTAATCATTCATTTTTTATTCTCATATATTTGCTTGTTTATTAATATATATTTCTTTAAATTTTTTATTTTAATATTTTTATTTAATCTTTTAATTTAATATTTTTTATTAATGCAATTTTTCAATTATGTGTTGTTTTAATACATATATATTTTTCAACTGAAACTTTTTGAATTATAATTTTTTAAATTCTTTTTAAGTATTAAGTAAACTAAAGGCCTGGTTTGTTTGTATGAATTTTTTTTATTAATTTATTTAATTTTTATTTATTCTTTAATTACATTTTTTTTATTAATATATATAATATATGCATGTACGTTATATTTTATCATTTATATATATTTATTAATTTTTATTTTCTTTTTAATATACAGGGTGCTCCATCTTTTATGTCGGTATATAAGTGATGTATTTTTATTTAGTTTGGTTCCTTACAACTATTTTTTAGACTAGCTATTAAAAACAATATCAATAAAGTGGCAACCTTTATTAGCAATTGCAAAATTACCCCTTTTTTCTGCGTTTGCCATTACCTTTCCGAGCATATCGGGTGTTATAGCGTCGATTTCAGTACGAATTTTTGCCTATAGCCTATAGTTTGAGGATGGTTGGCGTAAGCCTTGTTTAACCCGGGGGGGTTAAATCAAGTGATCGGTTGTTTTCGCCACGATATTTTTTCCGATATGCACGTAGAGTTAACACTATAGATCGGCTGTTTTCGATGCAAAGTGTCACTATCTCAGCGCGTTGTTTCGGTGTGAAGCGATCCATGGAAGAAATTGTACTGAATTGACTTTTCCCAAAAAAAATATATCTGATACAATCGCTCGGTTGGTAAATGTGAAAGTTATTCAACGTTTACATACCGACATAAAAGATGGAGCACTCTGTATATTTTTTATTTATATATTTTTTTATTATTAAATTATTTTAATTTTTTTTTATTTGTATTAGAATATATTTTTTAATTACATATTTTTTTATTTATTTATTTTTTTTTAATTAGATATTGTTTTATAAATGTATTTATTATTCATATATTGTTATATTAAATATATTTTTTTAATTAAGTATTTTTTAATTTATTTTTTTTTAATTAAATATTATTTTATTATTAAATAACATAATGTTAGCATCATGCTTTCTTATTAAATATTTTATTATTCATATATGTATTTATTATTAATATATTGTTGTGTTATATATATTTTTAATTAAATATTTTTTTAACTATGTAATTTTAATTTATATATCTTTTTATTATTATAAATTATTTTAAACATTAATTTTTATTTATATGTTTCTTTATTTATAACTTATTTTTATTTTTATCTCTTTATTTATAAATAAATAAATTTAATATTTTCAGTTTTTTTTTTACATATATATTATTGTATTATAATTTTATATTTTTTATTTACGTATTAGTTAAATCAATTTAACGAAAATTACCAAACTTCTGAGCTGAGCTTTTTTTAATTCTAGTTCAGTGAGCGAATTTTTTAATACGATTTTTTTAAAATTCGAAATTTTCATGAACTTCTTTGAGAAGCCTTCAAGTGTCAGAGCAATCTTAATGATTGCATTGAAATTTTTTTTCCAAGCTTATTTATAAAAAAGTTTACCGTTATTAAGAAATCTATTAGTTTCTAAATCTTATTATTATTACTTTTTTTGTGAATTATTAATACTTTGTAAATATTTTTTTATTTTCGTTTCTAACATCATTTACATTACGATAAGTAGAAATGGTAGGAAAAGGGTAAAGGTATGAATTACTATGTTTTGCTCTTGTATTATATTTTTTCGTATAGATTATTTGTCACTTACATATATATCATATACTCTTAGTTCATATACAGTTACATAGTTACAATAAATATTAGATTTTTTAGCTTGATTTTTATCTTCCTATAACCTGCATCAATAAATTTGATGAATATTTTGGAATAAATTTTATTTTAAATAAAAATGCTAAGGGACATTATGTCAAATGGTTTTTTTTTAATGGAGAATTGAAGGAAAATTCATAAAATTAATTAAGAGATTTATAAAGAAAAAAAAGTAAGATAGAATTATTAAAAATTAATTAAAAATTAAAAATAATGAATAGTTTTTCTTGGCACTACACATTTTAAGAACTAGAACTTTTAGAAATTAAAATAAAATATGAAAATACAAAAATTAAGCTGTTCAAAAAATTATTAATAGAGACGGCAAAAAAATAACTAAGGAGAGATTAAATTGAATTTATGATTAATTATATTACTAAAAGATAATAAATTAATAAATACACTAAAAAATCTAATAGCCTATATTTTGGGCGCGATGTAGTCCGCATGAAATTTCTACTTACAAAACTGAAATAATATCCTCAATCCAAATATCGAACTCACTTCCGTGCAATAAACAAAAATATTAATCTTATCAAAAAACTATGTATGTATGTATTTTCCAAATAACAAACAACGCTAATCAAATATGATTTACACAATAGATCTCAGGTTCTTTTACGGAAAGCATAGTTCTCCACATATTGAACTAGACAAAATGAGTTATCTGTAACTCGAAATTCAAGGATATCGTGCAAAAATCGAAACTGCTTCAAATGAATCGGTCCTTACATAAAAATTATTGTTTGTTGAATTTTGATTAAAGAAAAACTGCCTTATAATTCTTTAATTAAAAAAAAAAAAGAAAATTAATAAATAATAAAAAATAATATATAAAATAAAATAATTAACAGCAAATTTTGCAACAAAAAAAATTTACAAAAAAAAAAATGTATTTCCTTGGGCATAATATATGACTTATTATATGTAACTCTCACACTTTAATGAAAAAAATGAAACACTACTTTTCTACGCTGCCTATAGCTTAGCTTACAAGACTGACTGTAAGCAATAAATTAACTTTTTTTTGTTTTTTTTTTTGGGTAATTTATTTTCATTTAATTCATAAACATTTTTAAACTAAATTTACGCAGATTTTCATACTCGCTTTGCCTTAAAATTTTCATTTTGTATTCATTCATTCATAATGTAATTTGAGTTAAATTTATTTTTTTCATCACAATTTTCAATAAATGGTCTTTTCCAATTAAAAAATTTTAAATACAATTTTCGCTTCTTTTTATCTTTTTTTTAATACTAAAATCTAACAGCTGCATTTATATCGTATACAAGTTATATATGTTTGTATATAGACTGAATGATTTTTAAATATTAATTTTTTTTAATACTAATTGCCTTACAAATTTTTTTTTTAATTATATCCTTACATTTTTATTTTAAATATTAGTATTGTTGAAATTTGCAGATTCTTCAAGCAGATTCGTTAAGAAACCTGTTTTTTTATTTTACTTTTCTCTACAACTAATATGACTAAAAGAATTGTTTTGATCGTGGGAAAAAATGCAACATAATAGTTAATGAAATAAGAAATAAAATTTTTTAACAAAAAAAAGAAAGTATAATAAAAAATATACATACTAATTGTCATGATGCGATTTAATTTATTACATTTTTTTTTGCAATTATAATGAATTAAGACAAAATTAACTTTTTAACAAACAACAAGCAAAAAATTTTAATTTTATCTGTATGTATTTTTGGTGAAAAAATTAGCAATGATTTAAAATAATAATATTTTCAAGTTAAGAAGTGTACAATAATTACTATTGTACTTTTTATTGCTTTAACGCACTCAGATTTTTAAATTTTCTCACTTTTCTCATTTCTACCATTTTATACTTATCAACTACAATTTATATGCATTTTATTTTGCGCTTAAAGCCTAATTTTTCAACTTAAAAATAAAATAAAAATGTATGTATGTGTAAATAGGTTTATATAGGTGTTTATGTATGGATATATGTATGTAATGATTATTTATTGTTTAATATGAGATTTTGTATGTATTTTGCGCACCTAAGAGTATGTATGCATGTATGTAGCAATTATTGTACGTCAATATGTATGCAGTATATTTTATATGAGTATATATTCGTATGCTACAAATCCAGTAGATTTTATACAAGCCGCTGTTGATTTAAGAAATTTGAAAAATATATTTTTTTTACGATCTTTGTTTTTTTTTTTTTACGAAAAAGGGTTGCCAGAAATGTGCAAATTTTTTTTTTAATTTTATTTATATGCACATTTTTAGTTTCAACAATTTTCAAAAAGCGTTAAATTTGCACCAAAAAATAAAATGAGTTAGCAAGAACGGGCATGAGCGTATGGGAGCATGATATTTTTAGTAGCTAAATTAAATTTTTAACTTTTTGTTGAGTAATTGTAATTTACTGTTGAGTAAAAAGTGCTATTATTGTAAGCGGGCAATAATAACTTAATTAATTTTTTTTTACAATTTTGAATTAAATTTTCTATAAATCTTTATAATTTATAAATAAATTTCTTAAGTCAATTAAATTTTAAAAATCCAATTTATTTATATGCTAAATTCCAATTGAATTAAAATACATTTTCTTTTGACGCCTAAATGTATGCAATGATTTTGTTTGCTTGCAAGTACTCAATTTTACCGCTTACCTATACATTTGCCTGTACATATTGGTTTATGCCTGCATTACTAATGCCTAAATTTTTATTTAACCCAAAATATGCAAAAATTAATATTAACAATAATAATAATAAAAATAGAAAAATATGCAAGTGTGCGCGACTTGCAAAAAAACTAATTTGAATTCTAAAAAGTAATTCGACGCACACAAAGCAACGCATACAACTACTAATACTATTATACTTCAACGCCAACCGTATCAATCAAAACCGAACCATCTGTTGACTTCAAAACTGCTCAGACTACAATCGCTTTTGCTTTTATGTTCTTGAGTTTATCATTTAATTCGCTCAAAGCTTTCATAATAAGGACGCAAAGCATCTTTCAATTTTTTATTATACTTCAAAATTCCTTTCTTACTACTACTATTTTTCAATCTTAAATATGAATACTATTCAAAAGTTAACACTTTAAATCTCTATGTGTTATTTGAAAATAGAAAGCTTTAATATTTTTTTTATTAAAGTTTACAAAAAGAAGTAAGAGCTTCAACTGTCAACTTCCAAAGCTTAAATTTGAAACTTGCACAGCTTCAATTTGAAACATGAAAAGCTTCAAATTGAAACTTGCACAGCTTTAAATTTGAAACTTGCACAGCTTTAAATTTGAAACTTTCAAAGCTTCAAAGCTTCAAATTTATAAATTTTTTTTTTTTAGTTTTAACATTTAACTTGAAGAACTTCGAATTTAAACTTTCGAAATGTTAGCTTCTCAAAGTTTCTATTTCGTATTTTTTAAATTATTTAAAATATGTAAAGCTTCAACTTTAAACTTCAAGCGCTTCAATTTTGAACTCCCAAAGCGTCAGCTTTTAACGTTGAAGGCTTTAAGTAATACCTTTCAAGTCTAAAGTTTTCTATTTAAATTCTAAAAAGTTTCAACATCAAAACTTTAAATCAAACCGTTCTAAGCTTCAACTTTAAACTTAAAGTTTCAAAGCTTCATTTTAAAACTTGAAAGCCTAAATTATAAAACTTTCGAAGCTTCAGCTTTCATTGTTTATTTTTAAAAAGCTTTCATAATTTTTTTCTTTACCCTCAGGAGCTTTATAAACACCATTATTTTCCAAATTCTCCACTCAAGCCTAATCAAGCTTTCACCCTCTACATTTCCTCAAAAACTTGCATGCTTACTTCGTTCCCCCCACACACTTCCTAATATGGATTAAACTTGTTTCGCGTCTTCTCGCTATCGGCATTGCCATCGCCGGCATGATTGTGACTACGAAAACGTGTAGAGGCAAAACTTTTTGTGCGATGCACACCCGTGGTCTGTATGGGTGGCCCGTTGAGTGTTGCCAGGCCGCCCAACAGATCGGTGAGACCGCCTAAAGCCGTCAGGCTGGAGAGTGCATTCAAAGCGCCCGGTTTCGATAATAACTGTGCTAACGGTATAGCTGTTGCTAACGAACTAACTGTGGTGGAGTTGGCGAACGGGTTGGGTGGATTTGTGAATGGTATTGTAGTGGTAAATGGATTGGTTGGATTATTGGAAGTCGAGTTTAGGGATATATTGTTGCTGCTTGTGTTGTTGTTACTATTGCCGCTGTTGTTGCTATTACTGTTGCTTGTGATTGACATGGCTGTTGATGAGTGTGTGTTGCTGTTCGAATTGTTCGTCGAGTTTGTATTTAAATTGTTTAAACTATTATTGCTATTGCTGTGATTGCTGCTGCCGCTGCTGCTGCTGCTGCTGCACTGATTCAAACTGCCATTGCTGCTGCCGCCGCCGCCAGAGCTGCTATTGCCGCTCAGATGATTACCATTGTTGCTGTTATTGTTGCTGTTATTGGCATTGCCATTCGCGTTGTTATTATTGCTGTTGTTGTTACCGTTGTTGTTGTTGCCGCTGCCGCCATTGTTAACTTGGCCATTGGCACAATTGTTCGCCTCCTGTAGATTAGCCTTCTGCAGTTCAACGCTGGAAAAGGGATAAAGAGAGAGAGAAAGAGAAAAAAGGACAATAGGATATTGTTTGTATGTGGTGATGAGATAAGGTTTAGTTGTTTGTTCTTTTTTTTGTTTTTTTTTTTTTTTTGGTTTTGAAAGGTGATGACTGTATTTGCTATTTTTTGTTGTTGTTGATAGCGATTTTGTGGAATTGAGTTGGTTTTTTTTTTGAATTTTCAAAAATTTTGGAATTTGATGAAATTTTTGCATTTGGGGTTAAAGGAGGGAATTTGCTGGATTTTTGATTTATGTTGATTTTTTACAAGGAGGATTCTTTAAATATTTTTATTTTTGATTTATTTAAATTAATTTTTTTTTTTTTGGCTTATGGCGGTTTGGCGTTCAAAATGGTACAAGTGTGCAGGTGTTGGTGGTTGGTAAGGGTTGGTGGGGTTCGGTGATGGTTTTGTGCTTTGTGGGGATTTAATGATGGATTTCAAGTAGGCCTGCCTTTGAATGCAATGGAAGGTGGAGTAGTTTTCTAAAAATTATATGAGCCTTATCAATGTTTAATAAAATAATAAAAAAAAAATAAGTTATTAATATTTTTAGCTAAAAATATTTCTTATGAAGTACCTGATGACAAGTTTTCTTGAGGCTTCCTAAGCATTTTTTAGTGATATCTGCTATATTTGACCTAATCTCTTGGTATGATGGAGCAGTACTTTCAATTTTTCGGTTTCATTTTATTTCATGTACATGAAATAGTATATCTACTTTGGTATGAAGTATGTAAGTACCAGAAGGGGAGGAGATGGACCCTTTGACGACCTCCATACAAGCAATTTTCCAAATATGTTTAGTTTCTTTTATTTAATTAGTTTTATTTTGCTTTATTTTAGTTTATTTTCTATTTCATCTCTATCACATTGTTTTGTATTTCTTTATTTTATGACATTTTTTTTCATTTGATTTTACTTTATTTGGATAAATTATCTTTTATTCCTTTTTGCTTTGTTTCATTTTATTTTTGTTTATTTTATTATAACTTTTTTCAATTATTCTATTTTATTTTAATTTATTTTAATTTATTTTTGTTATTTTATCTAATTTAATTAATTTTTTTTTCATTTTATTTTACTTAACTTATTTTATCTACATTAATTTAATTTAATTTTTTTTATTTTACTTCAGTTTTATTTTATTGCATTTTTTCTATTTCATCTTATTTAATTTTCTTATTTTAATTTACTTTAATTTAATTTTATCTTGTTTTTTTATTTTATTTTATTTAAATCTGTTTTGTTTTGTTTCATTTTATTTTTCGTTTATTTTGTTATGACTTTTTTCTATTTTTGCATTTTATTTGAATTTTTTTTTAATTTTTATCTAATTTATTTATTTAATTTAATTCAATTTTTTTTATTTTATTTTACTTTATTCTGTTTGATCCACATTAATTTAATTTAATTTTTTTTCGTTTTACATCAGTTTTATTTTATTGTATTTTATTGTATTTTATTTACTTAAATTTAATTTTATTTCTTTTATTTTACTTTAGTTTCATTTTATTGTATTTTTTCTATTTTATCTAATTTAATTTTGTTTCTTTTATTTCAATTTAATTTTATCGTGTTTTATTTTATGTTTTTTTATTTTCTATTTATTTAAATCTGTTTTGTTTTGTTTCAGTTTATTTTTCGTTTATTTTGTTATGACTTTTTTCTTTTTAATATTTTATTTGATTTTTTTTTTAATTTTATCTAATTTAATTTAATTATTTTAAATTTTATTTTACTTTATTCTATTTTATCCACATTACTTTAATTTAATTTTTTTTCGTTTTACATCAGTTTTATTTTATTGTATTTTTTATATTTTATTTAATTTAATTTAACTTTGTTATTTTATTTTGTTTATTGTGCTTTTAATTTTTTTCTATTTATTTCACTTCACTTTGTATTTCTTTATTTTGTTTCATTTTTTTATCATTTGATTTTACTTTATTTGGTTAAATTATATTTTATTCCGTGTTGTTTCGTTTTATTTTATTTTTCGTTTATTTTGTTATGACTTTTTTATTTTTATATTTTATTTTATTATAATTAATTTAGTTTAATTAATTTTTTTTATTTTTGTATTTTATTCTATTTAATCTACTTTAGTTTAATTATTTTTTTTTACTTTAGTTTTATTTAGTTGTGTCTTTTATTTTATTTTATTCCACTTTGTTCTCTATTTTTTTATTTCATTTTGTTTTAATTTTTCTATTTTACATTACTCTTTTTAATTAATTGATTTTGTTTTTTTTTCGTTATTTCGTTTCTTTTTCATTTTATCTTACCTTATTTACTTATTCTTATTTTTTAATTTTATTTTCTGAAACTGAGCATCGGCAAGTTTGTAGTATTTAGTAACCCTCGATTATCGAAGATGGGGTTTTCATACAAAGAATAATGGCTAATCATCACACGAAAGACGCTTTCTCTCATTTTTTGGTAAAATTCACAAGCTAAATGCTCAAACATGTCATAGACTTATAAACCGCCCTCGTATTTCAAAATATTTTTGTATATATGTATAATATATGAACTATTTAGAGATTTTAATCGCAAATTTTTCAAATAAATTATTAATAAAAAAAATTTTAAATAAAAATTAATAAATAAATGAATCTTTCAATTCACTCTACACCCTCTCTTGCATTCAAAAAAGACTTAACAATCAATATGAATATTTTAGTTTTAGGAATGTTTGTTTGTTGTTGTTTATTTTATGACTAATTTTAGGGGATAGTATTGGGTGCGGCGGTCACAGAGTGGGAATTCTTTAAGTGACATTATTATTGGAATGGATTAAATGATACTTGTTTTTAATTAGGAACGTTGATTTGCATACGCGGCTGTGATCCCATGGGCGGCAACAACATATTACAATACATTAAATGTACATATGTATGAGGCGTACAATTGTATGAGTGTATGCTAATTATAAAGACAAGTATGTAAGTACTCGTATGCTGTATATGGTGACATAGCGTTGTTGGAGTCTCTCGCGCTTTGTGTAGCAGCTGTAACAGTTTGTGGCATTGTTTTTGGATTTTTGGATATTACATATTATTTCTTTGTATTTTTTTTTTGCTTTTTCTGTTTTTTTTTGAACTGCTGGGATTGTGGGGCACTACTATTATATATACATACATTTCAATGTTACATAAAATATGATTGAATAAAATATTTTTCAGCTTTTTAATAGGTAGTTGTACATACATACATACATTTATGGTGGGTAAGTTGGGGTGAAAGTATTATTATACTCCTTTTTTTTTTGCGAAAACTTACTACTATTATTATTGTTACATATATGAAACATAAACTATATTGTTTGCTGTGAAAATTTACATTTTTCTTTTTGTATTCAATTCTTATTTTTTGCTATGCAGGAGTAGAAAAGGATTGAGAAATAATATTGGTTACTGGTAGATATGTACAATATATTCAACTTGCTGGGTGGGGAATTTTAGAATTTCTATGAAACTCCATGAAATTGGTAGGCAGCATGGATGTACATTTTGGATTTGGGATCACAACTACATACATATGTACACATACGTATATATGTATGAATGGTGGGCTTGAAAGTGTTACGAGGAATTAACAGGTTGACTGTATGGGACTGTTATAGCGTGTTTTAACTGTAGAACAGCTGAAACGCCGATGGGAAATGAGCGAGTTTGGGCGAGCGTAAGGGTTAAATGTATGTATGAATTTTTGGAAACGGTTTAGGATATTGTTTTCGCTGTGAGTGAACTTTTTTTTTAATTTTTTTTTTTAATATTTTTTGGCATGTAAATGAGTGCGTATAATTTTGAAATATGCTTTTGTTTATAAAAATTTGCAGTTATGAGAGGCTAAAATAAGAATTTATTGTTTCAAATTAAGTAAGGTACACGTTTAAACGGCTCAAAATAATATTTGAAAAACAACAATTGTTGTTGAAAAATTAGTGGTAATTAATTTGGTGCGTAACTTAAAGGAAAGAAAACTATATTTATGCATAAAAAAAAAACTTGGGATGTCTTTCTCTCTCACTTTTTTTGGTTTTATGTTTTTGTTTTCGTTAAAAGGGGAAAAAAGTGGTGCAGGAATAGAGTTGTGGTTAAAAGTTCATTAAAATAGTACAAAGTTGTTGTTTTATTAACTTTTTATTGTGAAAATACATATTTTCTTTCTTGACTACAGCATAAATTTGTGGTTGGAATTTATTTTTTTTTATTAATGTAAATTTAACCAGTTATTTTCCTACTTCATTTACTAAATATAATGCAATGGTTAAGAGAAATCCATTTCATAGCTGCACTGTAGTGTTAGACAGAGTTGGATAAGACTTCAATTGTACTTTTATATACTTTTATATAAGGTTTAACTATAGAATTGTGCATATTTAAAGCACAAATTTGTTTTTGGTTTTAGTTGTATTTGTTATTAAGTGTTGTCGCCTTAAAACTAGCAAAATTCTAAAGACTAGTGTAGCTGGTCGGCAGCTATGCTGTTGGTTACTTTTGTTTATGGTTGTAAGAATTAGTGAAATAACAACAAAAGTACAGCTAAAATGTAGAGTTTACTGTTACTCAAACCGAGTTTAAATGTATTTGTGACATTTTTGAACGCATTTTCTACCATATTTTGTTGGTAAATAAATCTTGTAATTTTGTTTTAAATTTATTATTATAATCATCATCAAAGAACCTCCTTATACCGCACATATGTATTAGTTGTTATTTCATATTGGAAGACACTTAGCTTAAATTTCAATGTGAGCATACACGAAAGATTGTTTTCTTCTGTGCCGTTTTGTTATTTTTTCTTCTTTATACGTGTTTTTTTTGCTTTCTTATTTAGCTTGATTGATTTGTTCGTTTGTCTGTTCAATGTTTGAGATATTTTTTTTTTTTTGGCAAGTACGATATGTGTATGTGAGTGTGTGTATTTGCGAATCAATTACTTGACAATTATTAACAGCGTACAATATGTGTTGTTGTTGTGTACACTCTTTGATTATTAATTGGCAATTCAATTCGACAAAATGTTATGTTTGAGTAATTATTATTATTTTTTTTTTAAATAAATATATTAAAAGCAATTAAAGTATGATAGTAATTAATTTAATTATTTTTCTAATAAAAAGTTTTTTATTTTTAATTTTTTTCTACTTAATTTTAAATTTTTTCATACTAACTTTTTTTTTTCTAATTTTTCAGTTTTCATTGCCTAATTGTAATATTTTTTTTTAATAAATCCTAATTTTTTTTAATTTAATATTTTTTTTTTGTAATTTAATATTTTTATTTTAATTTTTAAAACAGCTAGAATTTTTTTCTTATTTAACTTTTTGAGCCTTCATAATTTTTTTAAATTCTTTCTTTTCACATGTTTTTATGTACTCACCTCATATTAATTAAGTATTGAGCCAATGCCACCGAATCTGGATTACCGCTAATCGTGATTGTACGATCGGTATTGCCGCCCTCACGTTCCTCACAATTCGAAATGCGTATCATTGCACCGGAAATTTGACGTATTTCGGCAATTTTCGTGCCACCCTTGCCGATGATGCAACCGATTAAATCGTTGGAAACGGTCATTTCATGTTGTTGTTGTTGGGTGCGACTTGTATTGGCTGTGCGCAGTTGCGAGCCAGCTAAAGCGGCCAAAGCTGCTTTATAGAGGCGAGGGGGGAAAAAATGTAAAAAAAATAATTAAAATTTATACGCAAATAAAAATCAAACAAAATCATATCAACTAACCTGTGGGATTCAAACCGCCGGTATTGGTTGGTGTTATACCAGCTAAGCCCAACGCAGCCAAGCTAGCCAATGGATTCTTTGCCACCTGGAGGAGTGAGAATGTATGTGTGTGTGTGTGCGAAAATTGGGAAGAGAGGAGAATGAAGAAATAAAATTACAAATAAAAATTAAAAATTATTTTTCTATTACATATTTATATGTTTATAATAATTTTTGTTAAAAGTAAATTCAATTAAATCACTTCGGTAAGGAAAATGCATTTTTTTTCTGCAATTACAAGTGAAAAGTATTAATTTTTTTTTTTTAACGCTACAAATAATTTTTGCTTTTAAACATATTTACAACGGAAAAAACAAACACAATATTTACGGGGTGTTGGTAAGTAGCGGTAGATCTTTTTTTTTGTTTTGGGGTACGTTAGGTGTTAGTATGTATTTAAAATTGTTATTTTACATAAAAAATTTTATAAATAAAGTTTTGAAAACTCAATTAAATACAATTTAATAAATTTTATGATTAATTTTGGGGATTTTAAGAAGAGAATACGAGTAAGAGTTGTTAAATTATATAGAGAGAAGGTGTATTTCAGATGATGTTGTGTATAATTTGGTGTATTAGAATTTTAAAAGCCTGTAATGTTGTTTTAAAAACAGTTTTGTATGTATTTAAGTTAAAATGCAAGTAAAAATGAAGGTATTCCAAAATTTCTATTTCTTAAAAAAAACTATCTACAAAAAAATTCGTAATTATCTTTTGTAATTTAATATTCCAAGATTTTGGTTTGAAGTTTTCAATAATCATTTGTTTAAATTTTTTTTAATTAAATTTTTAAATTCTGAATATCTGGAGTATTTTCATATTCAGTTTTCCGACAAATAAATATTATTTTTATACTTTTGTTTGAAAAAAAAAAACAAATTTTTGGGCTTAAAAAATTAACTTATTATAGAATAATTATCTTTGGCGTCTTTTGATAAAAAATAAATATATTTTTTTTTTTTTGTTAAGAAAAGTCCTACCGAAGACTAACTTTACTGTTTCACGATAAAAAAAATTCGTTACTTTTTACTTTAAAATAAATTCTTTTAATTTTCTTTTTTGCGAAAAAAATAAATAATTTTCTTTAGTGTTTTTATTTTGAGAATAAAGTCAATGGAGCAAAAAATTCTTAATTTTTTTTTAATAAAAATAACAGAATGAAACATGAAATGATTTTATAATAAATATAAAAAAATAATTTGTATAATTTATTTTAATTTATTTATTTTTTTTCATTTTTAGATTTCATAGTAACAGTGTAGAAGAAGAAGAGCGAAAACTTAACTCAATGTATAATATCCAAAGAAATGTTGTATTTTATTAAAATGTATGTATGTATATATAATAAGTAAGTGAATAAATGATAACTAGCAAATACGGTATGCCTTGTGTAAGTACGTATGTATTTGTATTTGTGAAGTTTGGGGAAAGGGCACCAATGACAATAGTTTTTCTAGCATATACATATATATAAATAAATGGGATAATGACTAAAAGTATACAATACAATAGATTATAGGGTACATATTACATAGAAAGGGCACATGCCAAGGGAGGTGGGTGGTAACGACAAGAACAACAACAACATTAAGAACAAGAAATGCGTACCAAAGAAAAGAGGATATGTACATACATAACTAGCACTGATAATAGTAGTAGAAGTAGTAATAGCAGTACACAGACAACAAAGTATTAAATTTAATTTACATTATACTCAAGAGCGAAGAATAAAAGTGGTTGTAATGCAGGGAGCGTGGGCAGAGGGCATACTTGCGGGGTTTGAATATGATAATTTATAGGCTTAAAAATGGAATTTGATAAATAAGCATATTTAATTTTTTTAATTTTTTGCTTTAATAATGAATAGATTTTATTTCATGAGTTGAATGTGATATTTAATTGGTAATTATACAATAGCATTTTTTTTGGTTATGTATTTAATTTTTATTTATTTTTTAATTATTTATTTCTTTTTTCCAGTCATTGCTAATTTGTCTTATACGATCCGATTTTCTATTAAATTTATGGTCGACATGTCGTATGAGTAACATTCTCCTGTAGTTTAAGGAAATTCGCAAGTCGTACTACTCGTGGCATCTGCAAAATTTTTTATTTAAATACAAGTAAGTCTATGTAAAGCGACCTGTCTGTCGATGGCTTATAGTGCATATACTGCTCGGTTCTACTAGAATTTGCTTACTTGCGTTGGCTTAATTCAATTTTAATTAACTTTTCATTTGATTATATTCACATTCACTTTATCACTTACTTTAATTCATTATAAATTTTTTATACTTAATTGTTTACTATTACACTTCTTTTTTTTATTAATTTTTTTTTTAAGTTTTAATGTACCTTTAAGTTTATGTTCCTTTTATCAGAAATAAATACATTTTATTATACTTTAATTTTATATATTTTCTATATTAATTTCATCTTATTTTAATTAAATTTATTCTTTTTATTTTGATTTTTATTTTATATGTAATCTAAGGTTTGGTTCCGCTTGCATGTTTTTCTAGTTGATTATTATTTTTTTTATTAATTTTATACTCCGTTTTTCTATTTAATTTAATTTAATTTACTGTTAATTTAATTTTATTCTTCCACTAAATTTCAATTTTGTGAAATTATTTTGATTTTTATTTATTCAATATTCTGTTTTTATTTTTCAGTTTATTTAATGAGATAAAATTTTATGTTTTTCTAGCTAATTTTTTATTTTATTTCCGTCTTTCAATTTAATTTAATTTACTGTAATTTAGTTGTATTCTTCCTCTTCATTTTTTATTTTTTTTTTAGTTTTAATTTAATTTAATTAATTTGTTTTTATGTTTTTTCTATTTTATTTCAATTTTTTTTAATTTTATTTTTCAGTTAGTTTCAACTTTATTTTAATTTTTAGTAAGTTTCAACTTTTTTTTTATTTTTTTTTTGCATTCCAATCATTATTATTATATTTAATTTTACTTTTATTTTTTTTATTTCCTAAACCTCATTTTTAATTTTTAATTCATTTTATTTATTTAATTTTTTTTGTCAATTCTTTGTTATTAATTTGTTTTTTATGTAATTCGTTTTTTAGCTTCTTTACTTTTAATTTAAATTTTTTTACTTTATTTGTGTGTTTTGATTTAAATAGTTTAATATTTATTTTTTATTTTATTTGTGTTCAATGTTAATTTTATATATTTAATCAATTTTTTTCATTTTATTTCTTTATTTACTTATTCAGTTTTATTTTATTTAATGTTGTGTTTTTTATTTAAGTTTTGTTTATTTAATTACAATTTTTGATATTTTCTATTTTAACATATTTTTTTTATGAATTAATTATATTTTTTTAATTAATTAAATTTATTTTTTACTTTTCATTTGATATTTAAGAATTTTTGAATTATCATTATTTTGATGCTTCTTTATTTTCAATTTACTCTGTTTCGTTCATTTAATTTTGTTTCCTTTTTACTTATTTGATTTTAGTCAGTTTTATACTTAATTAATTTTCTTTTTGTTTTATTTTTTTACACATTTTAAATTTTAATTTTATTTATTTAATACTATTTTAATTTTGATTTTTTTGTAGTATTTTTTATTTCATTCTTATTTTATTTTTTAAATATTTTTTTTTTTTGTTTTATTTTATTAGATTTTTCTTAATTTGCCTCTTTTATAATTTACCTTAACTTAATTTTTTATTTACGATTTAATTTAATTAATTTAATTTTTTATTTCTTACTTACTTTATATATTTTTTGTTTATTTTATTTTATTCTATTTCACGTTATTTCGACTATAATTAATTTGTATTTCATTTTATTAAATTTTTAATTTCATTACTCTGAAATTTATTTGAATTTTTTCTTAGTTTCTTTTCGAAATCATTTAAGTATCGCTTAACACTTCAAGCAGAGTAAATAATAACAAATTCCATTAGTAATACGTATAAATTACCATATTCATGTAAATAGTTGAAAACTATGGGATATTTGTTGAAGATAGTATATGTATGTATAAATGTATTTATATGAAACTCAAGTCCATAAATCCATTCTAGGAAAGGGGTGGGGGGCAAACGAGATAGAATGTAAAAAACAACATAAAACCAGTGAAACAAACAACAACAATTCGTTACAAACCTCTAGGCAATTGTAGGCGGGGGGTGTCGGGGTTGTTGGTAATGAGCAGGGCTACTACATACAAATACAGGCTGGTGGTTGGAAAAGGATTTTAAGCAAGACTGAAAGTTAAACACTTTTTAGAGCAAGCAAACGCTTCTACGGCTTGAGCCTGGGGCGACACTACGTAAGAAGAACAACTAAATAACTATGCGGAGAGAGAAAGAGAGGGGAGGGGTGATATGGTTGGCTTTTGGGAACGTAAACTAGTGGCCGAACCACAAGAGCAAGCTACAAGTAGAGTTGGACATTGGAGCTGGGTTAGAGTGAGAGCGGTGCGCATAAAATACCTGTACAGCGGCGGTTTTGAGGGATTTTTTGTTTTTTTTTTGCTTAACAATTTTATACAACTTTTCAACCATACAAACAAAATCACAGCATAGCTTCCATAAAATTTCAAAATTGGTTTTTGTATTTGCATTACTATCGTTTTTTCTTTCTCTCTTTTTCTGGGGGTGGTGTTGGGGGCTAAAGGAGGTTTTTTGGGAGGTGTTTAATTTTTAGAAAGTTTGGTTTTTTTTATAAGCTTTGCTACTTTCTTTCTTGTTGGTTGTTTGTAGGTGGTGGTATTGTTGTTGTTGTTGTAGTAGTTGTTGTTGTTGTTGTAGTAAACAAATGCAACTCACATCGGGTATATGCTGTAGATGATGATGGGCTGCCGGCACGGCTCCTTGCAAATGTGCCCCCTTCAAGAGTGGATCCGTCAAACCTGAGATACCAGCGTGTAAGCCACCGGTGGCCAAGGCCAGTGGGAAAACTGGACATGTCTGCATTTGCAAATTTCCCAAAATTATTTAAATCAATGCCAATACGCAGAAGAGTTGTTGGATGTAGAAGAAGATGAGAACAAATTTTTTTTTTTCGTTGTTTTATTGTTGGTAGTAGTAGCAGTAGTTGCAGATTGGTGGTTGTGATGGTGAGCAGTAACCAAGAATAGCAGTAGTGGCAGTAGCAGTTGTAGTAGTAGTAGTAATAGTTGGTAGTGATGGTAGCAGAAATATATTCATTTTATGTTGTTGTTGTTGTTGTTGTAGTTGTAGTTTGGTGAGTTCAACGATTTGCAATTGAGTTTTCGATTTTTTGTTTGTTTGTTTTTTTTTTTTTTTTTGCGAGTTGCACGAATTACAACAATAAGAAAAGAATATAAAGAAAATATGTGTTGTAATTAAAAGCGTTCACTTGATAGTAATAAAGAACACAGTTATATTTGGTTTTAAATAATTTTCATCATTTTTACTACCTATGCGGTGGGGAGCGTTAGGATGGTTAAAATCTGAAAGGGTGTGCCCAAAAACTATGTTGAAGGACCAACAGAGCGGCAGAAAATTAAAAAACCAATTAAAAAGAGGAATAAATAACAAATAAAATATGCAATAAATCATAAAAAAGCACTTTTTCTGATATAAGGGATCTTTTCATATATACATAGTTACATATGTAGTTCCCTCAATGCAATATGTATGTGGAGGAAAACGATGCTACTATATTGTAATATATAAGAATAATGCAGGCTTTTGGTGTTTATTTCGTCTTTGCAACTTTAGTAGGCTAATATGTATGTAAAAATATACTGGGAAATATGTATGTATATAGTCCACCACAAATACAGCTATGTATTTTAGAATGTGATACTCAGGATTGGTGAGGATGTTGAGATGGCGGGCCAGTTTTTTTGTAAAGTGAAAGAAACTATCCCTTTGGTACATACGTAGGTGGGCAAGCAAACAAAGAATTATACACGAGCGACCGACAACAGTTTTTTTTGGCCAAAAAATAGTGGGAATTTCTGTTTGCAGAAATAGTTTTTTGATGATACGCAAGTTTAAGTAAAAGTAGTTACAAATGAAAATGTTAGCTTAATATTAACTGTTTTAAAAATAGTGGGGCATTTTTATCATGTAAAAATTACGGCGGTTTCTTGTGTTTCATTTTTCAATTTGATATGAACAATTGAAGTTTTTGAAGTAAACAAACTGAGAATGGGGAAATTTCTGTAGTAAAGAAATATGGGGAATTTAAAAAAAATACGAGTGCATGTAAAATTAGTCAAATAAAATGAGTTAAAATTAAATATTGGGATTTTTTTTTAATGAAAAATATAGGGAATTTCGAACACTATTTTTTTTTTTATTGAAAAATGGAAGGTGAAATTCTTTTGGCACAAAATTACATTAACTTTTATGTAAAAAAATAAACAGATTTTTTAAATTTTTTTGTAAACGAAATCGTTTTTTTAAACTTCAATTAATTTTTAGAGAAAAAAATTCGTTGTGAATTAAAATTAATATTTGATCCTATTGATTAGAAATAATAATTTTTTTTCCAATATATGTACGTATTTCATTAGGAAAAACCCTATGGGAATTTTTTTTAACAGTTTTTTATTATTATTTTGTATTTACTTAGATAAAAAATTGGTTTTCTATTTTCAAATAATATATATAATATTATAAATTAGTATTAAGTTTTGTTGAAGAATTTTTCCAGAATTTGAATAAATGGAAATTTTCGAAACAGTATTTCCAAAATAGTGTTCTGAATTCAAAAACAACAGAAATTGCAGACATATTTATTGCCAATAATTTTTGTGTTAAGATCCGTTGCCGATGACTGAAGAGTTAACAACAATTTTTTTGTTAGATGTTTGTGTGAGTAAACGGGAGCACTCAAAAGTGCTTGTATTATTTTCCAAAAAAAAAAAAATATTTTAGGAACAATTTTCACAAAAATGGAAGATTAAGGGCCACTCACCTGTTGACACAAACGCAGGAGAAGGTCACTACTTAAGAACTAAGAAGGAGAGAATAACACTTGCTGGATAGAGCCACATTGAATTACTCAGCGAAAAAGGTAAGCTTTATTGTGCAGGAAAACAATATATATTTGTATGTAGTATACGGGTCAGAATACGAATGGTAAATGTAATTAAGAGGTTTGTCGCTCGCAAGAAGAGAGAGAGAGGGACAAAACTAACTGTGGAGTAGTTATGCTTGATAAGCGACCCAAAGATAGGATAATCATGGCGGCTAAGAGAAGAGAGTACAAGGTTGACTAGCGGATTTTTACTGTATCAAGTAAGTAGTAAGATCGCTATATAGAGAGGTGTCAGTAAGTAAGTACATATGTTTGTAGTGTATATGTTTGTAGTAGTAAGTTCAGTGGGGAGTGGCAACAAGTTATCGCAAGGAGAATGTGTGTTTATGAAGACGTGTGCCTGTATAGGTGTTTGTGTGTATGTGCTGTTTTGTCAATTGTCTGAAGGCAATGGTGTCATATGTAAATATTGTATGTAGATGGGATTGTGAAAAATGTTGGTGTTGTAATTATTTTTTTTGACGTTTGCGGCGTGAAAACAGTACTTTTTTTTGTTTATAAAGAATTTTTATGGCTACAAATGGTTGTCAAAAGAACGAAAATTGATTAATTTATATATGCTTTCTTTAAGAGATTTACGTTTGAGGGCTCGGGCAGGTAGTTTTTTTTTTAAAAGAATTTTTATTATTAAATTTAAAATTGCTAAGGACATTTTTAATTTTTATTTTTGGAATTGAGTTTTTTGCTAAGTATAGTTAACATTTAACAAAACAAACGTATAGTAAGAATTGGTGGACGATTTTATATAAAAATATTTTTTTGGGAAAAATATTAAATATTTTTTTTTTTTTGGGAAAATATTGGAAAATTGATGAACGCACTCACACTGCGTCTTGATGGCGAGAAATGAGCAAATTTACTAAACAAAAAAGTTATAGGCACCTTTACAGGCGGGTTATGGGCTTTTCATAGGTATGGCGGTGTATATGAGAGATTATTAAAAGAGAATTTTGAACTTTGGGTACGTGGTTGTTTGATGGGATAACTTTAACATTCGCAAGAAAGATCTTTTATATATATATATATATAAATATATCAAATCTTTTCAAAGGTAATTAACAAGTGATGATTGGATTCTAGTAGCGGTGGTGGTAAACATAGTAGTTTAAACATACTTTCCAACACTGCACACGAGCCCTCGTGCTAACTGAGTGGCAGTAGTAGTACTTGTTGTAGTAGTAGTAGTAGTAGTAGTAGTAGCAGTTCTTCAATTGTAACAGTTTCCTATAAAGAGCACCCTTTGGGCCCCACACATGGAGTTAGATGAACGAGAGAGCAGAGTTTATTTATTTTTTGGGGGTAGAGCAGAGTGAAGAAACGCTGCAGATCCTTTCACATATATAAAAATATAGCTCTCTCTCCCTCTTTCTTTATCTCTCTCAACCAATCCTTGGTACGCACATTCTGCGGTGGTTTCTTTTATATGTTCAATAATAATTTTTCTCTCTATTGCATAAATTTCATATACATATAAATATATGCATATCTCTTCAATAAAGCCTCTAGAGTCATGCTTAATAGACTCTCTCTTTTTTTCTGTTTAGTTTTTATGTTGTTGTTGGCGAGACAGGCTCTTTTATTTGATTTTTAAACTAGCGAGCGAGCGAGCGAGCGAACGAACGAACAAGCGACAAAGTGTATAACGACGTTGAACTTAACCTATGAGAAAGTGCAGAAAATATTAAACAAAATACAAAAAAGAAAAAAAAATGTTTAAGTAATCAAAATATTCTTACAAAAATATGTTATATTTCCAAATATTTTTTTTTTCGTTTGTTTTAAATACATTACATAGCAAATATGATTAGTCTTCAATGCCTAGGGTAACAATTTCTTAAAAATAAGGTGTGAAGGATTACGAGTAAATCTCACAGACACTCAATGGTAAAAAAGTACAGGAGAGCGGTTAAAAATAGTAGTTTTCGTAGCACAAAAATAATACTGGCAAATAATTTTAAACCTTAAATTGAAGCTTATTACTTCGGAAGCGGACACCAAAAAATTCTGAGTTATATTTTTTATTATTGTTAATTTTGAAACAACACTTTGAAGGTTCTTTTACACCCAAATATCTTAAAATCTGTCAGAAAATAACCTTAGACGGTCGCTACAGAGTTAAAATGTCTCACGAATTTTGGAATTTCAATTATGCACATATATACCCGTATATACGAGTATATATATATGTTTTTGTAGAAAGTAGCTTTCACTTTAAATAGGAAGTTTTGATCCATTTTGGTTATTTCATCTTTTAAAGTAAAATGGGAAGGCCGTTTGGGGCATAAAATGAGTAAGCAGCAAAATTTCACTGGCGGTCTTTCCAGACAAACTCTTTATATGGCACTCTTAATACGACGTCCTACAAACGTCTTAGGGGCAATAGAAACAAAAATGCCCCGCGTTAAAGCGGTCCTGGGACAAAAAAACCGTTAGAGCATTGAAGTATTTCAGAAAACTGCTTTTTGTAAAGTTTTACTAGGAATCTTAGAAACAAATCTTATACGACGTACTTTAAATGCGATGGAAACATCTAAAATCGACCTTTAAATCCCCACTTCAAGGATACCCTCACTAGCCATGTTCCGAAAGCCGTCAGTGGGTCAATGTGTTCTAGCATATTATTATATGCAACATTTTACTAGGGGTCTTTTTAGAAACATATTTGATAACAAGTATTTTAAGGTTCCTAGACGATGCTTAAACAAAAACTTGCCACCAAAAGTGGTCGTTTACACTCTTACTTGAAGAATTCCCTCAAAACACACTTTCCGAAGGTACTTAGAGAGTTCAGCTATTCTAGATAATTGTTATCTGTAAAATTTTACTAGCAGTCTTCTTAGAAAAAAAATTTATACGAGATATTTTAAAGTCTCTAGCCGTAGGAAACAAAAATTTCCCCTAAAAAATAGGTTATTATACCCTTACTTCAAGGATTGCCTCAAAAACCACGCTCGGAAAGCCGTTAGAGGGTTAAGGTGTTCTAGAAAAATATTTCTCGCAAAGTTTTACTGGAGGTCTTCTAAGACGAGATCTTTATACGTGGTGCTTTAAAGATGCTAGAGAATAAAAACAAAAGTAACCCCTTGAGATATGCAACTTTTTTTTAACCAAAACTGGATTCTTGGATTCTAAATATATAAATAATTATTTTTGCTGGTAATTAATAATGCATAGTGAGTAACAAAAAATGACAATACATTAGCTTACTGTTGTTGTGCTAATCCTATTTAAAAAAAATACAATTTTAGCTGAATTATTTGTCTCAGTACTATTTTTGCACAAATTAGGACCAATATAGCGCTAAAAGGTCGTTATTATACTTCAATAAATTAAGAAAGGAATTTTTTTTAATCACTTATACTTTAAAAACTCAAAAAATGTTTTTCACTCAAAAATCTAATTTTTGCTATATGATTTGCGTAAATTTTTTTTTTTAAATGCTAAAAAATGTATAAAATTAAACGAAAATAGTTGTAGAGTTAAAAAAATAAGTGAGGAAATAGCAAATAAATGTATTCAAAAATTTCAAAAAAAAAAGAAATAATAATAAAATAATTAACAAAATAAAACTTAAAAATTTAATAAACAAAATAAAAAATAAATAATTTTAAAATTATTATATGAATTTAAAAAAAAAAATAAAAACAAAAAATAATAAAAATTTGAAAGAATTACCAAACAAATAAATATAAAATAATTGAGGAATTACAAGAAAATCGAAGCTTTAAAAAAGTTGAAGAATTAGGAAAAAAATCGAAAAAGTAAAAAAAAATTTTAAATTTTATACAAAAAATAAGAAATAAAATTTGAAGAAGCTAAAAAAAACCTAAACAAAAAAGAATAAAAATTAAAAATAATTTAAAAATGAAGTAAAATTTAAATAAGAAATTAAAAATATATTTCAAAAATTAAAAAAATTAAAATTTTGTAAAAGTTAATAAAAATAGTAAAATCACAAATAACTGAAAGGCTAATAGAAAAAACACCCAAATAATTCCTGAAAAATATTAAAAACAAAATTAAAGTTTTGAGAAAGTTAATAAAAAATAAACAAAAATAATTGAAGAAATTAAGTAAAACCTAAGTAATAAAATTTGTAAATAATAATTTAAAAAAAAATCAATTTAAAAAAAAAAGATAAAAATAAAATTAAAAACGAAATTCAACAATTAAAAATATTAATAAAATTACTAAAAAAAATTAAATTAAAGGAAAAGATGTAAAAAAAAAATTTACAAAAAGTAAAAAAATATAGAGAATAAATTTCAAAAAAAAAAAATTTAGAAAAACCAAAATAAATTAAGAAAAACTGAAAAAATTAATTAAAAAATTTGGTACATAAATAAAAACGCAAACAAAAAAAAAAATAAAAAAATCCACAATTATTGCACAATGCAGAAGGACATGAAATCAAGAAGAAAAGAGAGGGCTGAGCAAAGTGGAGCAGAGCAATGGTAGATGTGAGAGAAATTTTCGACTGGGGCGGAGCAAATAATCACATTATTATATTAAATGAAGTAATGTTTGGTAGCAAAAGTTTGTGAAAATTTTATGAATATTTCCAAAAAGTCATATATGTAAGTGTAAAAAAAAATATTTATATGTGTATAATATAATATATACGTATTTATGAATATAAAGAAAATATGCGAAGAGGCAAACAACTTAGTATTTAGTTGACAAAGTAAATGCTGAAGTAGTAGACAAATAAGGCGTACAAAGATGTAATAAAGTGAAAATCGTGGAGCGGTATAAACAGTTCAGAGAAAAAAAGAAGATGTAAAATGTAGACGAAGAAAACGGATAAAGTAAATTTGGAATAGGGTAAGCGATTTTCTTGCTTAAAAAATACACAGAGGAGGAAATTTTTAATTTTATATAAAAATATTTATATTTGTAGCAACGAGAAGTTACAATGGAGGCTGAGTAAATGCTCAACACAACCAGTTAAAAAGGCTGAAAATTAATAAAAAAAAAAAATAGTAAATAGAAGAGAAAAACTAAAAAGCAGTGAGTAAATAAAATTGTTTAGAATGGCGTACACCTTTTTCTCGAGTATAAATACAATTTTATGCACATATGTAAGTATGTATGCAATTTAAGGTGAGAATGTGGCATAATATGTATATAAATTTAAGTAAGTCTACATATGTTAAGGTAGAAAGGATAATTGTAAATCGTAGGCGCTCATGTATGTACATGTATATATGTATGTATTCAGAAATGAGTGTAGTGGCAATATGCCAATGCCACAAAATACACAAATACATACTGTAACACGCAGAGTACACCATACACGCTTCACTAAATTCACCCACTAATTGGGTGGTGATGCGGCAGGGCTCACTTTGCCTCTGTACGTTCGCGTGTGTGTGTTTGTGTATGTGTATGTGTATGAGCCTGTGTATTTCTATATATGCAAGTATGTGATGTATGTGTGTTTCTGTAGGCTCATGGCCGTATGCTTATGTTTTTAATAGTATATAGGTATATGCATGTATGTGTGTATGCATGAATGTAAGTGTTATTTGAAGATTTCCTTTTATGTAAGTAAGAATGCAGTAGATATACGTGTATGTACTATAAGTATGTAAGACATGCATACATCTATATGCGGTTAGTTTACCTCTTGTGCGGGTACAGCATAGTTGCCTTGTATGGTATAGGCTTGTCCGTTTGCCAAAATGACTGGTCCAGATACTTGCGGTTTTGGCCGATACGGTATGGTGGCTCCCCTTGGTGGTGACTATGTTGGTTGAACAGTTTGTTGATTGTTGTTGGATTGAATATAGGTATGTTTAGAAAATACATAGGTAAATTTAATTAAAATGGGCAAAGTGCATTTGCGCCAACATAAACATAGGCACACATACATATATGTATATACAGAAAATTATACTTGGCATAAAGCAAACTCTTTTCAAACTAGTTGCTTGCATAAACTCTTATAAACATACAATTCTGTGTATGTGTGTGTGTGCTTATTTATGTATGTGTGAGTGGCGAATGCAACTATGCTAACCAACTAGCCAGCCGACCAGCCAGCTTGGTCTGTTCAGGTAGGCAACCGGATAAGTCAGCCAACCGTCGCTAGCAATTTAATTCAATACTCACCTCCAGCATAACGAGACAAATCTGATAGATACATTGGGTTATTTGTTCAGCAGTACCGCTCAAAGTAACGGCTCTTTCTGTTGAATTTGGCAACATTTCGCTGGCAACCTGAATCGAACAGCCAGTGGTTTGACGTATCTCCTTGATTTTTGAGCCACTTTTGCCTATGCACATCACACACAAACACACATGCACACACACAGTGAGAAGGTTGCCGGTGATGGACGTCATGAAAAGAGAACAAATAGAAGATATTTCAATTACATTAGTGTAAATGATATTATAAAGCTTAGGGATGCTTTTGCGTGTATATATGTATGTATGTATAAAGATATTTTACCAATTAAGGATCCACACTGACTGGCGGGCACAATTAAACGTATCGGTATTTGAGTTTTGCCAACCTTGCCAACATCACTGAACTGTGAGCACCACTAAAAAGAATTGTATGTATTAAATATGCAAACAAATGTGTAGGAAATATGATTAAAGAGTTTTGGAAATATCCTAAGGTATTTATAATAAAAATATTTAACTATTAGACATACAAAATAAAAGATATAAAATTTCAAAAACACATATTTGATATGTTAAAATTAATGATAGACCATAAAATGGCTTAAGGCATATAATTATTTTAAATTTACTTATGAGCAAATTTATTCAGCAATAACAAACCCCTTAAATCTCTCTTATGCGCCTTAAAAATTAATATTTCTACAGTAAAAAAATCTTAAATTTTAGAACGACATTTCAAATAATAAATTATAAACTATATTGGTGTTTGAGTACTCTTTTAAACTCATTTTTAGCGTGATTCAATTTGAACCACATATCCTTTGCAGGTAGGTTACGTATACGCCATGGTGTACTAAACAACATTTTTATTAAGAAAACATCTTCTAAGATGTGACAAAGGAATTTCAAAGCGCTTATTTCCTGATATTTAAGAAAAAATATTTAAAAAATCGTACTTTTTACCGCTAAAATGAAAATTTTGCCTTTTAATTTTTTTAAGAGCCCTGTATTTCTTTTGAAATTTGTTCAAAATTATTCGGATAATTCAAAAGAAATTTCTGGAAAAATATATTATAAAGACTATTGGTCTTGAAATATTTATATAATTTTTTTTTTTTAATAAATTAAACTATTTAAAAAATATTGCATTAGGAAAATTCCAGGTTACGTATACGCAATGCTGCACTAAATAATAGTTTTTATTCAAAAAATTAGGTTTAACATATTTTATGTAGACTTAAAATATTTTAATGTAATTTATTTGAACGTATTTATAATATTTATAAGAACGTTTTTTGAGCTTGGAAAATGTTTCCTCTATTTCAGTTGAGCCGCTCACATTTTCTTTAATACCTTTTTATAATTTTTGTCTTAAATTTTTTATACGTGTAAGTACTAAAAAATTGTTTTCCTAAAAAAAAATAAACTGTCTTGCTCTTCGAGAATTTAAATGACATAATTATGCTCGTATTAGAAAACTACAAGTGAGTTACGTATACGCAGTGACATACTAAAAATTGTTTTAACAGAAAATGTGAATTTATAATTTAATTTTTCGATCGGAATCGTTTTAATTTATTTATTGCAATCTGTGCGAAGATAAAACGATTTTCTTTTCTATTTTAGTTAAGGTGTCCTCAGATTTTGTAATAAATTGACTACTTATACTTTTTTTTTTTAATTTTTTAGTCACAAAAATAGTTAGAAAGAATACCACTATAATTAGTAAGATTTTTAATTTTTTTAGCGTAAAATCTTTCGAATTGGAGAATTACAAGTAAGTTACGTATACGCAGTGCTCTACTAAAAAGATTTCTTACTATATAAAGAAATGCTTATACCCTTTATTATTGGTTTCTTTACTCAAAACTGGGTTTTCGCCTAGACTTTTTAAACTAAATAAGACTAAAAAGCAAATAATTTGCTATAATATGCTGATAAACAGGGTCGCAAGTTATTCGCACTAACCCTGACTTCAATTTCTTACTGGCTTAAAATGAGAAAAATGGTTGGTAACATAAAGACATAGATATTTTTTTAACTACACGAAATAGTGAAAAGTCAAAAACTAATTAATTCAAGAAATATGAAATATAAAGACATAATTCCCTAGCCCCATACCCTAAAAAATATATTTTATTCTATTTTTATTCAAACTTCACCACATTACCTCTTCGAACTTCTTTGTGATGAGCGTGAAAGCCGAAAAGATCGAGCTGGTCGTACCAGATACAGTGACAATGCGTTCCGGGCATGAGCCGTCCGAGATGTTGATCTTTGCGCCAGACTGAATTGTTGTGGAAAATAATTAAATTGTTATATTATATAAATAAATAAATTATGTTTTTGAAATACCTCCTCACGAAATCTGTTCACAATCTCGCCTTTCTTGCCAATAATGCTGCCGACCTCCTGCAAAGAGCAAAAATAGAAAAAATTTGTTTAAATAAAGCATGAAAAAATATTATTTTAATATTACGTTGAGTTGAAGAAAGTAAATCAATTAAAAGTGCAGAAAAGTTTAAGGAATTAAATAAAATAAAGATATATTTTTTTTTTGACAGGAAACCTTTTATTGTTTGTAATTCCTGTGGTTAATATTTTCACATTTTTTTTCCTTCATATTTTCTTTATTATATTTCTTCTTCTATTTTACATTTTTCTAAGCAAAATGACATAACGAAATAAATTATTAACATTTTATGTACCGTTAACTTGTCGCAACATGTGGCAGATCAGTTTTGACTTCATAAAACCTGTGACATATGTACACACATTTATCCTTGCCTATATATATACGAGTATGTACATATATTTACTTAACATAGACAATTGTATGTGTTTAGAATTCTTTTTGCAACTAGATATTTTCATAAAAATGCATCGGCATGCACTAACAAAGTTTGGTTAGGAAAGTTTTGCAACCAAAGTAATGTATATGTATGTATACCGGTATGTGTTACAAATGGAATTACTAATATAGTAAATCCTGCAATGTGCAGGCAAGAATATATATCACGTATGTATGTATGTTTAAAAAAGAAAGAGCCAGTGAGGCGCAGCATAAATTAAAGCACACAAAACAAAATAAAATAATTAAAATTAGAAACATTTATTTAATTAAAAATGAAATTTACTTAAAATATAAAAGAAATTAAAATAAATAATTTTAAATTATAAAATAAGAAAATAAAAAAAAAAAAAAAAAAAAAAAAAAAAAAAAAAATAAAAAAATAAAAGATTTTAATTAAAAAACATTCAAAAAAATAAATTAAAAAAATTTATAAAATATACTTAAAATATAATATTATAGAAGAAATCAAAATACATAGTTTTAAACATGTAATATATCTAATAAACTAAAATAAACTGCAATAACTAAAAAAATATAAAGCAAATATATATAAAATAAAATTATAAAAAATACATTTATTAAGAGAATAAAAAAATTAATTAGAAGATTAAAAAAAATTAAAAAATTTACTTTAGTTAACATAAAATGTAACGAACGGGAAATAATATAAAATAATATGGAATAAATGGATAAAAAAGTAAGATTTTAAGTGATGTGAGAAAATAAAGAAATAAATAAAAGAACATGTAATAAAAAATAAAATATTAAAAATTTAAATTCATATATATATTATATATTTGAACTGAAATAAAATAAAAATAATAATTTATACAAGATTAAAAAAATAAGAAAATAAGAATCTTAAAAAAATAACATAAATTGAAATAAAAGACTAAAATCAGGGAATTTAGAGACAAAAATTAGATAATACAAAATAAAAATAAATTAGGAAAAATAGAATAAAATGAAACAATAAGAAGCCGGAGCACGGTCGAAAGTTCACGGACACTACACTTTACGCTTGCAAAGCGGCGATGTCGTATACTAGATTTATATGCACATCGGTAGTTGGACCAAGCCTACTCTACGGCGTCACCGTAAGATGGCCGACATCTATAAAACTCTTTCAGTATCAACGGTCGACTATTCTGCTAACAAGAGCACTGCCATCTACTCCGTTCAAGAGCATTGCTAACTCTTCTTAACTTTCTTCCTTTGGACCTTTATGGTAAACTACAAGCAAGCTGTAACGCAATTAGATTGAATGCAACTCAACCTTGGAAGAACTGCAATATAGGATACGCTAAATTTTCTACCTTGCATAAGCGCCAAAGAAGCTCAAGTAAGCGTCGAAAATATTTCCTCCACGAGAACTCCAAACAGAAATGAGAGGGAAAACAACAACGCTCTCGATCAGGGAGTCATAGTCGTCTTCACAGACATCTGGACTGCGGAATTCAATCTACGATGATCTCAATACCTATGAGCATGATACTACCATTGCAGAGTTTTATATAGCAAAACTCTTTTCAATCACGGAAGCCGCCGATTGGCTGCTCAAACCTGTGGCACCAAGATAATCTGTTCTATCATATTCCAAAATTCAAGCTGTCATCAGATATCTACAATATAACAGAACGACATTAAAGGTGGCTATAAAACGTGGAAGTACCTCTTGACTATGAGCAACACTGGCGTGGTCTGGGTACCCAGACATAGTGACATCCCAGGCAATTGCACGGCAGATGAACTAGTGAGAGAAAGAATGCTTCCATACTTAAAAAAAAACATGTACCCGACGCAGGTTTACCTATGTCCACGGCAAAGTGTATGCTTAAGCTGGCTGAATGAGTTGGAAGAGAAAAAATCAAAAGATCCTATCCTTCTAGGCCGGTACTACATTAACATAACAAAAGGCATAATAACAGGACACTGTTTATTGGAGCTTAACCAGAAAAGAATAACCACAGTTGTAGGAACGAAGAAGAGGAGGAATCTACACTACCTCAGTCACTGTCCAGCCTTGGCATCTCTGCAACACAAGATTCGCTGGGAAATATTTATTCTACAGTCCGGGTGAACTAGCCTTAACGAACATTAGACACCTTGTTGCCTTTGTGAAGCTTGTGAATGAAGCTATGAAGTCCATGGAAAATATTCTTTCTTTATTTTAAAAAATTTTCAATAAAAAAAATGTTTATAGCAATCAAAATTTTCTCTTCGGGGTTATGAAACTTTTGTCTATGCACGCTTTAGCATTTCAAAATTCTATTATATTGTTGCATATAACACGCATATGTATGTATGTGTAAATTGGTTGGTTAGCATTTGTCGGTGCAAATATTTTGACTGAAATTTTTGTTGAAAATTTTAAACAAAATTTACATGCATCACAGGAGACACAAACACAAAAACACACACATACACACATAAACAAAGATATAAATTTACTTAGTTTGGAGAATAAAACTTTTTTTGTTTTGCCATATGCACATATACATACACTTCTCAGTTACACTTTTTCAACAAAAAAAAAAAATCGAGTTAGATAACCACAAATTCCTACAACTTGTTAATGTTGCCATCCAACAGGGTTATGTCTGTGTATAATATTGCAAACTGCAGGTGGAACTTGTAAATTTCTTTATTTTGAAATATTATTTTATTTTTATTTTTAAATTTTGCATATTTTTTAGTGCAATATGGAGTAAAACTAGTTTGCGCTTGAGTTTGGGGAATTTTAAAAAAATAATAATTAAATATAAACAAAAAAAAAAGAAAAAAACTGAACTTTACAAAGCAAAATAACTTTAATGATGTGTTTTGTGAAATGTGAGATTGTGAGTGAAAATAAAAGGAAAAAATTAGAAAAAAAATTTCAAAAATTTGTGCGTTCCAGAGCTAATTTTTCATTAAGTCAACAAAATAGAGGATGAAATATTTAAAAATTATATGGAGACATTTTTTGTCACTTCTGGGACCAGAATATAATCTTTGGTGGGTAAATATCAGCCATTTAAAAGAAAGAAAGAGATAAAGAGAGAAAGTGAGATATATAGAGAGAGAAAATAGGAGGAGAGAGAAGAAAAGAGTGATTAAGAGAGGGCGTATGTGAGAAAGAGAGAAGAAAGAGAGGACAATAGTGACCATTTGACTACTCAGCAACGAGTTGATAGTCGATTAGCTTGAAGATAGTAGAAAATTTCTAGATTGCAAATCGACATAAAAAACTTAAATAACTAAAAAGAGAGTTAAAGAAAAGAGAGCGCGCGTGAAAGAGAGTAAGAAATTATTTACTTTAGCAATAGTACATTTGTGCAAAATTATTTGGGAAAGTGGTTACTTTTCGACCAATCAGCAACTAGTTGATATTCAATCAATTTGAAGTTAGTTGAAATTTTTTAAATTATCGACATAAAAAATTAAATAAAACGTTACTTATTAAAAATTTTTGAAATCATTTAAGAAAGTGGTTACTCGTTGACTATATTGTAACTAGTTCATATTGAGTTAGTTTAGAATATTAGGTTTTAAATCAGCATAAAAACTAAAATATACCGTGATTTTGAAGCATTCATATAAATTACAATTATTTACAAAGCTAAGGCTGCTTGATATTCTTTTATTCTTTATTTGCATCTTTAAACCAAACTAAATATATTATTTCATTTAATTGTATCAAAAATTCTTCAACTGATTCAGTTATATATAATTTTGAAGAGCACAAAACTATATATTTATATATGTTTGTACCTTTTTGATTCAGTCGAGGGCCACTAAATGAGATTACATAAATATTTTATAACCAAATTACTTTTGAAACTCGCCAAACACCCACCGCCGCACAACGAAAGCTTTCCACATCACCAATAGCAATTAATTCAAATAATCTACACCAGGCTTAACCTCAAAGCAGAAATTGGAAAAAAAGAAGAAGAAGAACAGAAATTTGTAATTAAATTAAATTCCACGGAAATCTATGCGATTTTACGTAGAGATCAATTAAAATTATGAACGCATTTGGAGCGTCGGATTAAAATTCTCAAATGAATTGAAAGTAGCAACAACAACAAGTTTGGTAATGTATTTGTTTATATACAACCACCATTCAACCATTCAACCATTCAACCACTCAACTACTCCACCATCACCACCCCTTTCTTCTTCTTTAGAGTGTTTAATTCGACCGAAGCGTAATTAATTCACTAATTTTTACACACCGACAAAAAATGAAGAACAAGAAGAAAAAGAGGTAGGAAGAAAGCCGTCAACACACAATTATTTGTAGATACTCCACAAGTTTATGTACACAACTGTTGACCAAAAATCAAAATGCCGAAACAGCAGATTTCTGCCTGTGTTTGCCTAGCCCAAGGCGATGAGTTGTGGGTGTGTGTGTGTGTGTTTGTGGATTGTTGACAAACTCAAAATTGAAAATGAACGAGAGTGTTGAAATTTCAATGCAAAATTGTATAACCCTTGGCAAATTGTAGTTGTTGTTGGGAAATATTGAATTTCCGAACTGATTTTGATTTGATATTTCCTCAGAACCCAGTAG